GAAATATTTCTGCTGACTTCCACCAACTCCATAGGCACCCACCCCAAAGTTATGAAGATGTAATCTAAAACAAAACGTGGCCCAGTAGTAAAAGTTCCTGTTCCCAAAGTCAATGGGCAGCCCATTGGCCAGTGGGCCTTGGTGAAATAACAAATAGACAAACAGGATCACTTTGAATTCCATGTCTGTTAGGTTCAGCCTTATCCCCGCAGTCTGATGTCCAAGGATGAAGCCTCATTAGTATGTACATTTAGTTTGCAGTATAGAAAAATGCACTTTATATAAAGAGAAACCGAGTCTATCCACCTTTCAGGTAGACCAGTAGCTGTTATTTGGAAATGATGACAATAATAAAAATGACTTTGCTCCCATTTACAGACCAGCAGAGCCACCAAACACACAGCCAGTACAATACTGGGCAGTGCTATAGCAAGCAAACGTCCAGGCTGTGGGTTAACAGGCAGCTGGGTAGCTGTATCCATCATGGGCTATTCTAATCTGAAATTATTAATCCCAAACAAATGGAGATTTACTGGTTACATATTTGTGTAATTCCACTAAATTAATGAAACGGTGATTTAAGGAGACCAGAACCAAATAAAAGGATGTCAGCTTCAAGCAAAAAATTGGCTTTCAAATTACAACAGTTGAGACTTCACCACGAGTGTACCTACACTTCCAGAAGCCACTTACACTGTGTAGGGTCAGCTGGATTCAGGTGCAGATAAAAAAATTACACAGACACACACACACACACACACACACACACACACACACACACAAGTATATATCTTATTTGCATATATTGCTTCAGATATTTTTGGCAGTCTTTCATATTGCCATGAAACTCACTGCAGTTTGGGTTCTGTTTCTAAGTTCCCCAGCTTCAAATACTGCATTTGAATTCTACTTAATGAATTAGATACGCTTTAGAGCTACAATAAACTTTTCTTGTGAACATATTTCTGAAGCAGAGTCACATTGCTCGCAGAGAATAAATACTGCAATAATATATTTACATAAATAATTTAAAGTCCAAGAGCACAGTAGGTATTAAAAATATATTGCCGTGATAAACCATGAAACCAAGGAACAATGTTGCTTTAATTAAAAATTACGAATACACTGCAGTAAACAACTTATTTACACATAGTTAAAAGTCTAACTATTGAATGTCCTGGACTTGTTGAATCCAAAAAAGGAGAAAATACTGAAACCTATCTCTTCACACAGACAAAATATTGAGGACCATAATGGTGTTTAATTAAGATCTACTGTTAATAATGGATTTCAGAGAGTGAGGCTCTTCTTTTAATTTCCCAAGGTAGAAAATGTTATTAAATTTGGCCTTTAACTTCTCATTGACATGTACACTTGAAACTTCTGATTAAAATTTCAGAGGTTGGGAAGAAGCACCCAAAATTAAACTCTTAAATCTGGCACAAAAATAACAATGAATCCTGATTAAGAAATCAAATTTCAGAAACTTCATTACTGTTCTATTAATAAATTGTTGGGTTATAATTAAAATGGGGCCTGCTGGATTTCTTTAATTTTTTTAATTCTAAAAAAGTTGGAAACTGTAGAGGGAATTAAATGCTTAAAAAAATAGGTTAATGAATCTAAGAAACATGATCCAACTTGGACAGCTTTCTTTTCTTTCTGGGAGCGGACACAGCGGAACAAACATTACTTTCCACCCAAAGGTAGGTGTTCAGGAAAAACCACTGGTTCTGTCCGCTCCTTCCTTTTGTCAACATCCATAGTCAAAGCTCACTACACTCACTGCAGACCTGCATAGGAAATCACAGGTCTGGGTATGGTCGTTAAAGTCAGTGTTAACCCAGTTTTAAACAGGTATACTTGAGAGTAAGATTAAACTTGATGTCTACATTATTTAGCTGGTCAATATGAGCATGCAGTTCTTGTTTCCAGAATGACGCTTCTACCTCTACCTTGACTTTCTTTGAAATGTTAATGTCAGTAGATCAGAGAAGAGCCGACACCATAAAAGTTCACTGCTAATCATGTGCAGACAAATAGCTAGAGCTCAAGGTACGTGCTTTTGAGTGGTACAAATACTCGGAGTCTTATTTTTTTGGTGTAATACATTTTTGCCAGCTTGTTTGAGCTTTTAAATGAAATTCTTTCTCTGTCTGCAAAAAAAAAACTTCAAGCTGAAGAATAAGAAATAAAATTGCTTCAAAAGTACAGTGGTCTTTAAGAATTTTTACAAAGTAAATCACATTGTTCAAAGAGATCAGTAATTTCAATCTGATTCAGATATGCAGCGTTCAAAGAATAAATTCAATCTAGATGTGGACAATGGCACAAATGGTTTCTGTACACTATTCATGGTTCTTGAAATGCATTTATGATGTTATATCTTATAGAGTAATTTCCTGATTACAAATAACCATCAGCCCCTCCTACAAGTTTTATGTAGAAAAGTAACTAAAAATATCCCTGCAGTTAGACCTATCTCAGTCATTATAGGTTGAAAATAGAAAAAAGTAACATTACCAATTCTCTGTTGTTCTTTTGTTTACATCCGTCCATACACTTTGCACAGATATATCCTTTGCTGGGGGTGGTGTACATTGTTCACCCAGCACACACCATGCAACTCTGGTATATTCATTGCTTCTTGCAGACATAAAACACTGCTGGCTTATTGTCATCCGTATTGAGTGTAATACTGCATTTGAAAATCTGTATTGTGCCTGCTTGACCTTTATTTTACCCATATAACCATAGTAAGGACTCTGATTATAGCAGCATAGACTGAGAACTCTGTTGTTTGGTATGCATTCTCTATAAAAGGCCTGGTCCTAGGCCTAAACTCTAAGCACAGACCTGCTTGTAGGAATATATAAGAAAACATTGCTGCTGGGCCAGACTAGCGAGTAGCTTTGACCTTTATGCATGCAATTTTTACACTATCCTTAATTGCAGATGCTGTTCTCATATACTATGTTTTCACCGCTAGTAGCTATGTGTTTCAATAACACCTGTCAGTATTAAAAACACCTTTTAAAAATCCTATTTTATGTTTTTCTATTATTTTAGCAAAAGAAAGACATACAGGTAGTCAAATTAGCCTTTCCTGAATCATTCCACTATTTCCTAGATTTCCATTGCACTTGCTTTATCTTCTTCTAACCTACAGGTTATGAGCTAGTTATAGTCAAGATTTGAGAGTTCTTTTGCAGTCAGTTATGAGATGTGATGGACTGAAAAAAAGTATTTATGTTATTTAGCCGGTTACAGACAATACTTAAAGCTGACTTCAAGTTTTCAATAACTCATTGGAATGTCCTACTATTTCAGTGTCAATGTAGTTAGGAGAAATTCAGCAAAATCAGTGGGTCAAGGGGAAAAATTCAAATAATAATTTCTGGATTGTTGGTTTTGATAACCAAATCCTTATATTTTCTTGGCTTTTCTCTTCTAACCTCACAAAATCAACTGTTACAAAAATTAGTATGACTTTTCTTATCTCCCATGAAAATACATGAACTTATGGACAACCTCAATAATTACGTTTCTTAACCTCAGTAATGCTGCTGAGGGTCATATTGCTGTATCTAACAAGTAATAGAAATTCCATAGTTTTTGCATCCATAGACAAATCTGTGTGACCACGGTGAATGAAATAAGGAATCCTTAAAGCAAGAACTAAAATTAAGAATAAAAATGCAGTCTGTAAATGAATAAATTTAGAAAACAAGGGGAATGACACATGCTAACAATCATCCTTCAGATAAACTGATGTAGCAGAGCTCAAAGGCATTTTTGATAGACAAAACCCGAACTATTCAGACTCCATTAACTAGGTGTTTTTGAGGTGATGCAGAGAATTGAAACTTTTAATTGTCTGCCTTGCCTTTTTTCTCCTTCCTTGGAGATGAGCACACTCACCTGCTTAAATTCACCTTCTCATCATTCGAATCCAAGGCTGTCAGTGCGGTCCTTTGCAATAGCATGCTTACTAACATTTGTTACTGACAGAGAACATCTTCAAGATCAGTAGCTTTCTTTTTTTCATAGAACAGTACATATGTCAGACCTCCTTTAAGAAGTGCACAACCACTGCTAAATAATCCTACCTCCATGGTATAGACTGACATTATACATTGTTCAGGTAAAGCTTTGAAGTCACTCTCACAAAGATGTTTATGCCCTTTCATACGCACTGATATCTAGGGGAAGTTAGACTCACAAGTAAGAACAAAAAGTTAAACACAGATGTAACTTTTAGTTTTAGTGCCTAATCTGCAAATCTCAAATGCTGAGAAAAGCTGTCTGGAAAGTCAATTTAGTATTAGAGAAGAAAGTGGTTGATCTTTCATTTTTCAACAAATTTAAAAACAAAAGACCGGACCAGGAGGACCAAAATATAAAGTGATAGCACCACTTAATACCTAGGTTTGCTGCTTGCAACGTGGCACATGTGTGGGATTACATTGTCATAGCACAGAAATAATAATTTACTTTAATTTATCTGGGCCAGGCCAAGTCTTAGCTTACCATAGCTTCAGTGTTTCACTGGGAAATATTTTCTCAGCCCTTGGCCGTGGATGGATGGTCATTATTTCACTGAAGGATGTTATAAGTTATCATAAACTGACTTAATCCATATGTAAACCATAAATTATTTCTATACACATTTCCAATTTTAAATGTTTTCTCTAGCTCTCATGAAGGAAGAGGAATAAACAAGCTGGTTAAAAGTCATTTAGAAACCCTATGCAAAGCTATGTCTTGCTCGTGACACTTGACTGTTCTACTATAGTAATCTCCTAGCCTGGAAAACTATTGCCCCATCTAATGCAGCTCTTTGTTTTCATCATACTGAAACTCTTCATTGTAGGGGAAAAAAAAAAGCCACTTATTATGTAGACGCCAAACAAGTTCAATTTAATTCTCTACTGGCAGCCAAATTCTCAGGCACAAAAGACACTTTCTGATGGATGAAAATTAGAAGGTACTGCACTCACCTGATAGTCTGATGTTGCAAAGTATCTGGATCAGTGGCATTTACTGTTAACACAACGCTGCCAATAGGGATGTTTTCTTGTTTTGTCACTGTCATTGGGTTTGGGTGGAAAACTGGGCCTTCATTCACATCCTCAACAGTGATCTGAACTGTTGCTGTGGAGCTGGGGCCATAGGCTATGTCTGGAATCAGCGGGTCTTCATTTTCTACTTTGATCAGCAATGTGTGAAATGCCGAAATCTCATAGTCTAAAGGCTGTAAAACATATCATAAAATCAGTGTGCAAGGTGCAAAGACAGTATTTAGTGCTTTTTCCTTGCAGAAGTTAGACTGAATTAGCCAGAGAGGGACAACAGCATTCATCGCGTCTGATACTTGGTCAGAGTTTAGCATTAGACACAATGGAGGTGTTCCTCTACCCAACAGCACGCACTTTTTTGCCATGCCTCATAAATATAATTTAGTTCTCATATATACATGCTTATTTATGATGTAATATGCATTGAGCAAACAAAACAGAGTCATACTTTGTAGCTACTTATGATAAGTAAGATAAGGCTATTTTCTTAACTCCTACCTTGAAATCAAAAGCACTGCCATGGAAATATATTCCATTTGTCTTTAGAATTGAAAATACATCTTCTGAAGTCAAACAGAGAAAATTCTGATACAGGCAGCAAACAGGACTATTTTCTTTTTTTTTTAAAGTGTGGGATATAGGATTATCTTCATACAAAGACAGGTAATAAATTTTTTCATGGGACTTTAGAAATGTGGGACCAAAGGCTGCTCTCCAATTCAGCCTGAAGCTACATCCCTTACTTCCCTGGTATTTGCATCTGTGTCCTCTGAGAACAAAATGTGGCCCTTGAATTCTGATTGTACCCTCAGTCACAAACAAAACCATGTTGTAAATCTCACTATTGATTGTGACGCTTACTGCAATGCTAGCTGCTATCTAAGCACAATGGCAATGCAGTTAGCAACGGGCAGGTCCTTATGACTAAAGAAGTAAGGTTACTGTGACAGAAGAAGGGGTTATACATATTGTTTGGACAAGGGGTGGTAGCCAACCATATATTTATGAACAACTTCTCCTTCCTACACCTTCTCTTATGCAGTACATCCAGTGGGTAGACCTTACAGTAATAATACAGTGTAAAAGCAGATTGTTCTTACTTTGACAACAGAGAGCATTCCCTCGTTAGTCTGTGGATTGGTATGGATTTCAAAACTCTGCCCTGGATTTCCATTAATAATTGTGTAGACAGCTCTCCATGCTCCAGTTGCTGGGTCATCTCTGTCACCGACGGTTAAGTTTACTATTACACCTGTGACTCCCTCCTTTACTGTGGCTTGAAACTAGAAAAAAAAAAAAGCATAAAGGCAATTGTTCCTGTTTTCAGTTAATGACAACACACACACAAAATATCCAAGACAGCATTAATTATTTACCACAACAGGAGAAAGATGTAATCCTTGACTGAAACTGAAAGCTATAGGCTCTAAATCATACATTCTCACTCATGAAATACAAGGCAGCACATTACGGCTGCTCTCCGTTAAATCGGTGGTAGATAAGCAGCAATGTGATAGGAATCAAGCTTTGGGAGATACTGATCACAAGATGACAGTTCATCTCGTGTTACTGGAAAAGTGAATCCTGAAAATACATACTGTGTTGTATAGGCGCACATGCTATGAGAAAGGGAACTATACTCAGCTAAGCAGAAGAGGAAGCTGGCCAATATAGCTTGTTTTTGTCCTCGAATGCACTATTATTTACAAATGAGACAGTTCTGCATTCCAGACTATTATTTTCATAAATGACCCCACCGCTTATTAATTTTTCACTACACTGTTATCAATACATAAAACATTTTTCACAAAAAGTGTTCCCATACCATTTTTTGGAGCGGCTGCTCTAAGAGACTCAAAAAATAATTGGACCTCACGCTACCACTTTGTCTGCAAAACTATAAGTCAGTGTTATTTTCTTTTTTCAGTGGAAGAATTTTTTATGACCTTGTGAAGTTTGTTGCACTGCTGCACCATTCAGCTAGCCAAGCCCTATGAGAAAATTCTCTCTAATTTACTATCCAGACAAACAGCATATAACATCATTCTTATTTACGTAGGAAAAACATTAAACAAATAATTGGAAAAGCTTGTAAGGGTCAGACTTAATAATACCCCTCACCTTTCAAGTACTTGAGGCTGACATGCTAAAAGCACTGTATATAAGGGTGATAAGATAATACCTGCTTTATAGGTGGATAAACCAGAATGATAACATACCTAATCCTCAGAAGTGCTGAACATCAGCAGTACCATTATAGATCATTAGGAAATCTTAGCATTTCTAGGGATTAAGCCTTCAAAAGTCCAAAATTACAAACTCAAATGACAAATAGGTTTTGTCATACGTTCACTGCTTAAAAGCTACATTGTTGGTGATGTTATATCACTCCAGGGAAAAAAAAATCAGGCTTCAAGACCAGAACAGACTAAATGTCTTTTGTTCTGTCCTACAGACCACACAAAGTCATAACGCTACAGAAGATTTTGTGAGAATACTGAATCCAGAAAACGGCATTTTATTAACATATAGATTTCACAATCTGGACAAATGGTAGGTAAAATGGATTTCCTCATAGTAAAATACAGAGACAACTACATCTTTTCCTGTGTTTGATTATGTTTTTTTTTTTCTTCATTTCTTCCAACAAGATTTGACTTGTGTTTTCAAACTCTTTTTCAATTTAGCTGTATAATTTGAGTGTATGCATTCAGCTTAAGCTTTCCAGCCTCAAACTTGATTTTATAAAAGGATGACATTCATGATTGGCTATTTCTAATTTCTTTGGTATGCTTAACAAAGAATGTAAAGATTCTTTTGATTTTGATAGTTAATATATAACAGGTTGTGATTGAGCTTTGTTTCAGACAGATCATTAAGCCCATTTGCAGTTTAATTAACTCTAAATGATAATATAATAATATTTTTGCTTGCTTTGAAACAAATCAAAAGAAAAGCTCTATTAAGAATCTTGGAAAGAGCAGAGGAACAATTACCAAGAGCATATTCCTTCCTGCTCAACAAAATGCCGTCACTTAGCACAAAGCACACTTGGACACCTCTTACTCTAACTGAAAATAAGAGATCAGCCCCATTGATATTTTTGTATTATTTCATATTGCCTCATCTTGATCATGTACAAAATGAGACATCAGAACCATAAGGGCCGTAATTTTTCCCAACAAATGTTGACTAGACTTCAGGGAATCTAATCCTAAAGAATCTAACCCTTCCATTTGACTGGGAATCTGTTCCCAATTCTTATTGATCCTTGGTCAATACTCCCTGGATCACCTTGGGAACAGTAATACCCATTAGGGTAAAGTATTTAAAGATCCAGCTATTTTATTCAGATACATAATTGTGAAGCCAGTGAGATAAATTTATTATGCTTACTCCACCAGTGACGGAAAAGGTTACCACGATGTGTCAGCTAGTTCAAAAAATACTGTATGTCAGTTTAAGGGTATCTAATTCAAGGATGTCTCAGCTGGGGTTGGCTTTCTTCTGCATTCCTATTTTCTCCTTATTTAGGAAGGGCTCTCAGTAGCTTCAAGTGCAGTGAGTTAGTAGTGCAGAAAAGGCACATAGACTTGCTGGGGGCATAAAACTGCAGAGCTTCTGACACCTGCAGATCAAGGAAATGACAACAACTACAGGCAAAGGCTCTGCCAAGCCAAATAATTCCAAGCGTGGTGGTACACTCACCCCTAGCATTCTTTGCATTTTAAAAAAGACCATATAAACACAGAGGGTACTTGAAGCTGTCTGGAATATTAGAGTAAAATCCGTTCAAGATGGATGAAAAAGCAGAACGATCAAATCACAGAAGTTGTCACATGGGTCTACTCTAAATTTATAACATGAAAAGTGAATAAATCACAGATTTGTGATTGCAAAGGACAAGTATCTGCTGTGAAATAGAGAGGCCCAGAAAAATATAGTGTATATTATCCAGAAGGTGAACTCTTTTGGCTGTTCAGCCACCTTTATATAAAGAATGGGCTTCCTAGTATTTAGAAAAATCTGTTATGTTTATACAGGGTCCCTTTCAAAAACAAAAGTAAAGAAAGGAATTTAAAAATTATGAAAGGACAAAAATACGAATTAATTTGCAAACAGTTAAAAGATAACCACAGGTTCATCATATTTCAAAAGGAAAGGTTTACATTCTTAAAGCACGGTGCTTAACTGGGAGAGTCGGATCCAGTGCTCTAACATAAAACCCCATAGTGGCTAACACAAATAATTGGATCACAAGTTAATTGATTTTACTCTTTTTAAATATCTGCGTATCCCCTAAGCACCACTATAAATTAAGAATAAAATAGATGAGTTCAGTACTTTAAATAAACCACTATCATCTGGACCCATATTAAAAATAATAACTTAGAAGGCAAATACCTTAGGGGCGAGGGCTGCATTTGGCTGGAAGGAGCTGTTCATTTACTACAACTGAGCATTTGAATACGTAAGGTTAACTTGCTCTGTGGAGCGATATGCCATATTGTCATTTATTGTGCTTATCATCCATACACCCTAGAAATTCTAGTAATTTAGAGTTTTATAAACATGGGGGGAAAAAGACCCAATTTCCCTTTTTCTGCACCCAAAAGCTTATGAAAAAATACAGAAAAATACAGAAAGACAGACAACAGACTGATAGCAACTTAGAAGGAAACATTGAGTGAATAGCAGCCAGCAGTCTTAATCATCATGTTTTTGTAGGCAAATGAGACGTTTAATAACAGGGAGCTGAAAGACACCAAGGAAATACAGTGATGGATGCAGATGAAGGGTTCCTCCAAGAGCGTGAGGGTAGCTTGCGAGGAAGTGCAAATAGACTTGGAAATGTAATGAGTGAGCAATGTTTGCTGCCACGATGGACTGATGGGAAGCAGATATTGACCACTGGGCATTCTTGTGAGTGATCACAAAGAGGGTTCCGCTAGGCATGGAGGTCCCCAAGAGTGAAAACAAGCAGCTTATATTTCTTACAACAAAGGAGACAGTAAAGGGATGGCAAAGAGACGAGTAACATTCAAAACAACTCTGTTAGAATACAGCCAAGGTGACGGCAGCCAGGATAGCTCTGAGCAGAAGAGGGAATCTCAGTTCAGCAGTCAAACTCTACTCCTCCCTTCCCTGCAAGCCTGCTCCAAACTATGTGCAAAGCTTGAGAAGACAAAATGAAAAATTATGGTTCCAAGCCGGCAGGAATTTTATCTTACAGAGCATAGGAAATCCAAGATGGCAGGTATCTGCTGAGAACCCTTAGGCCTGCATCAAAGGCTGGTTAAAGGGAGAAGTCAAGTGGGGAAACATATTGAGACATAGCTTAATTTTAGTAGCGGTTTCTTGGCGCAGCCAGTGTTTGAGGTAACACTGAGCCAAACCCTCCACCACACTGAGCTCTATGGTGAACTGGTGGGACAGCAAAATGGATCAGCAGGGCCTCAGGAAAAACCAGTCTTGTCAGATTCCCACCATGGGGCAGATACATGAAAAGACCACTTTATAAAATGTTATCACCTGAGAATCCAGGCACTAACCCCATCTCAGCCTCAAACAAAACTGGAAACGGTACCCAACCTGTATGAAAATTGTATTTTTAACAGACAACCTTATTTAAAGCTTCTGTAGTAAGTGAGGTTTAATTTACTGGCTTCTCAGAGCACAGAGGAACAAATAAACTTAACTGCATCAGAACCAGCTGAATGTCAACTGTCCAGCAAGAGCACACAGTAACAACCTTAATACCTTTATGAAGCCACCAAAAACTCTCTCAGAGTGGGGTATCAATATACCCAAATTAAAGAGCTGCCACAAGCAGCAAACACACTGCAAGATGAACGTGTCTGGGATTGGTGATCACTGCCCCATGGCTCATTAAGATTCTGCATGCTGTGATTCCCAGTCAAGAACAAACAAATTAAAACTGCATGTCAGTTTGCATTTATCAGGCCGACATTCCAGTTGAAGGTATTCTGTGCTACTATCATGTGTTTGTTTCCCCATCTATATATCATAAAAGATGAGAAATAATGGGATATATTAATTCGCACATCTCTATTAGAAATTCCCCAGGGAAATTGTATTATTGTATTCATCCTCCTCCACTGCAGTGCACTACTTTTGCAACCATATTTTGTCTGCCTACTTTCTTGAAAATATGAAGACAAGCTTACACAATCTCTTGCAATCTGCTGGTTCTTTGTGTCTTTTACTTCGCCCACTGTCATTCAGTATGTGTGCACCTGAGTGGCCAATAGTTATTTGTTAA